GGACCACTCTGGGGACTGATTCCAGGTAGGTGACACAACTCCTGGCTGCAGTCCAGTGTTGTGGTCTCTTGCCACGCAAGCAAAGACAACAGGCCCTTCACCACATGGTGCTGTAGCTGCGGTCCACCAGGCGGGAAAAAATGCTGGGAAAATGTTGCTGTCGTGATAAGGGATGATCTCGTAGTCGTGCTAAAGTGATCGGAGCGTGGGTGCGTCTGTCACTTCTCTCTGAAGATGATTCAACACATCCAGCCTTCCAAAGCACCTGCATAACGCTTTCTTTAAAAGATGACCTTGAGCCTTTACCTGCTTCTGCTGCTCAGCCATGGTGGAATATCCAGAGTCTCGTTTCATCTGAAATAAGAGGTGATCTAAGTAAGCAAACCTTGTACAGCTGGAGCGTGGAAGCATACACTGCTGACAACCGAAAATCCCCTCAACTCCGAGCTCAGTTGCACAACTGTAAAATATTTACTCACTGTGCTCTGTCCTGTCCTGCTCCCTCCTCCATGTTGGCCATGGAGCAAAGCTGAGCTCTTGAGAAGAAAAAGCCCCTTATTTCCTGACAGGTTAGTATTGTCCCGGAAGACTAACAGGGATGTAAGGGTAACAAAGAAAAACGGGAGAACAGCCACAACCAAAGCTTTTGATCGTGGCGCTGGCGTGCTGTGGCACGGCTGCCTCCCTCGCTCTGGCCTGGGAACAGACTGCGCTCCGCAGGGACTCCAGCCCTCCAGACTGCAGGGAAACGGTGACACGGGACATGGGCTCTTCCATAACGACAGCACGCTGTTAGACTAACAAGGATGAAAACAAAAATCCAACCGCAACACTGAGTTTGTGCCACAAAGAATTAACGCAGTAGAGCCCCACACAGCCTTCGCTCACGTGGCAGAGGAACTGTAAGTCACAGCGTAAGAACACGGTAAGTGAGAAAATCATCTTTGCTTCAAGTCCCGCTGTGGTCAATTCAAGGGTTTAAAGTCCTAAACGGGCAGGTGGCCACCTCGTAATAAATCTCACTGCATTTGGCTCTGGCTTGACCATTTCTGTCTGGTTTTGGTAAAAAAAAAAAAATCAAACCCAAGGTTTAAGCAGCCGCTGAGGCTTCACTGCTGTCTGTGGCCATGGAAAGATCTCTGTATTTTGGGATGTGCTGCGGCTGTCTGAGGGATTATGGCTTAGCTGTTTTTATATTGCTGCACTCTTACCATAAGTAATAATTAGCAAAAGCTAGTGAAGCATTCCTTAAGGTTTTCTTGGTTTCACCCAGCCTTTAAGAACAAACACGTGAATCCTAATAATATGAAGGCGAGATTATCGAGGATTGCAGAATTTAATCCATTTTGCTTTTCATACACAGAGGAATATTCAAGCACAGGCAAACCATGCTACCTAAGGTAAAAAGGAAAGTACAAAGAAGGTAGAAAGGCACCTGTCTGAGGTACAAAGAAGAACAGCTGGAAAATAATTCATTAGGAGGATGATATTCTATTAGCTTTATGATTCTAGCAAGCCTCGTGGGAGTACTCCTTTTGCAGCATTTCAGAAAGGAGGAATATACTGCCAAAAAGAAGTCCCCGTATTAGCCAGGAGGTTATACTTTAGCTTTGAAATGATAGCTCTATGGGTACGTTCTTACAAATGCAACTCTGTGTATTGACAGGTGTTTCCAGCTCTGCTGCCCTGTGTTACACGGTAGTATGCAGGTCAAGGGACACGAGACAGAGAGACTGGACACCTTCTTCCTGCTTGGGTTCCTGCTGTTACTCACGGACAGAAAAGGATAGGGCCAGTTCACCACACTACATACTTTAGTGGAAGAAATTGATGTTAAATGATTGTGAAAAGAAAAAAAAAAATATCGGGCAAAAAGTTATTTGAAACTTGAAACTGTGAGCCCGAACTCCCAACCCCCTATCTCAGCACTAGGGTTATGGAATCATAGAATCATAGAATGGTTTTTGTTGGAAGGGACCTTAAAGATCATCTGGTTCCAACCCCCCTGCCATGAGCAGGAACATCTTCCACCAGACCAGGCTGCTCAGAGCTCCATCCAGCCTGGCTTTGAACCCTGCCAGGGAGGGGGCAGCCACAGCTTCTCTGGGCAACCTGGGCCAGTGTTTCACCAACCTCATGGTGAAGAATTTCTTCCTCATATCTAGTCTAAATCTGCCCTCTTTTAGTTTAGAGCCATTCCCTCTTGTCCTATCACTACGCACCCTTGTGAAAAGCCCCTCTCCATCCTTCCTGTTGGCCCCTTCAGGTGCTGGAAGGCTGCTCTAAGGTCACCCCGGAGCCTTCTCTTCTCCAGGCTGAACAGCCCCAACTCCCTCAGCCTGTCCTTGTAGGAGAGGTGCTCCAATTTGTGTACGCTCCTGTGCGGAATGCTAACTTTTGGTAGCACCCATAAAAAGAAAAAAAAAAAACCAGTTAACTTTGTCTCTCTTGGCCAAAAGAAGTAGTGTGAGAGGTTGTTTTGGTTTCGGCTGCCGCCGGCAACAAAAACGGCACCCCGGCGCCCCC